GGCTCACAGCCTAAGTCACACACTACTAGGCTCACTAGCCTAGATCACACTCACACTCAATCATAGCCATCGATATCCTCATCTACGGCTCCATATCGGCGGGCCTCTCAACCGCCTAACCTCCAAGGTTAACCGCCTAACCGCTGTGCACGCACGCCGGCGCTCACTAGTTCAAACCCTAACTCGGTCCGAACCCTAATCACGGAGTAATCCGGCTGACCATAATCACCGGATTCTAACAGCCAGCCTCGTGACGGAAATCAAACCGAGTCGCAAATTGGTGATAATGGCCGAGACGGGCTCCAAGAAGACCACGAAGATCTCGCAGATCATCCGCGACAACTGGCTGTCGAAATGAGAATCCGGGACGGGCCTGACAATCGTCGTGACCTTTCTGCTGAGGGCGGCCGTGAAGTGGGCTGCAAACTTTGTGGCGGAGGAGAGGCGAGCAAAGTGGAGGAACGACGTGGGGTACGTGATTTACCACGACAGAGAAGTAACGAAAGACACAAAGATCGTCTTCATGACGGAGGGGTCCCTCGTAAAACAGCTACCCAGGAAGGACTCACCTGGGGCGCCCGGAACTTTAGCCTGCAAAGACGGTCAGAAACTATGTGAACATTGCATCAAGCACCCGGACCTGCCACAGAAGCAGCCTCGGGTTCTTACAAAGCACCGGAGCGGCTGTGAGTATCTCGGAATGCGCTGCAGCCCAAGAGTTGTTACGTCCAGGACCCTTTGAAGCTCTTGAAGCCCAAAGGCCCAAGCAGGAGACCCAGAGAAGCCAGAATGCACAAGCCCAACAGACCAGCAACCCAGTAGAGCGATTGCAGGAATCCAGAAACGCCAAACCCAGAACCCACAATGCAGCAACTCATGAGATCCGGGGACATCGCAAACCGGATATCAAAGCGGCATTGACAACTCACTTGTAAAGTCCCGCCTGCGTCAGCTGGGCACTCTCGGCCGACCCAGACCACCGGAAATGCACGAGCGGTAAACAGCTGATCAAACACCTGTGCCCCTTTCTCTATCTGGATAGCATGAAAAACCTTGTCCTGAAACCTTGAAAGACCGACAACACCGCTGCCGCAACTCTGAAATGCTACTTGCTTGAGCAAGTGAAGCAGCTTGAGAAGAGAAGGGAGTATGATGATGTCATAGCCAGAAATGCAGGATTGAGAGATTTGCCCGCGAGAATGGAGAACGTTTGATCAATCTTGAGAATGGAAAAAACAATGAAGCCCTTTCCAAACAAGTACCACTGCAATGCTGATAGTGCAGACAAACATTCGTAGCTTACCTTTGGGGTCCAGGTCTACAACCTTGTTAGACTCCATCTGATGAAGCAGTGAAAACGCAGACTCTGTTGGCTCAAACGCACGCAATGCCGTTCCCAAAGAACGCCCGGGCCCCCCGGCCCTAAAAACTTTGCTGGAAACAAAGGTCAGCTTGCTCGCAGCAGAACCCTAATCAAAACTCCCGCTTCTTCTTAATGCCGCCCGGCCCATAAGAGCATTGCAGCAAATTCGAGCTGCAGCAGCGTGACGGTAGGCTATGTAGACCTCTGGCCTAATCACATCAAGGAGTTGATACTGGTCGGAATTCACTATATAAGTATAGTGACTGCCCGAAATTGTCATCGTAGTATACCTTTTTTGGCCCAATGCAGTGGTAGTACTGTCGGCCGTTACATTGGCATCAGAGGTTGTGACGTCAGCATGATTCGATAGGCGTTGGTGCCGTCATGATCGACGAGGTGCACCAACGGTGCGCCAGTACAGACGTTCTTCTCGTTGTCGTGAAGCTGCTCACGGCCCGTCGCCCAGATCCGGGCGTCTGCGTGACAAGCGCGACCCTCCCTAACCCAGAAGAGTTCCGAAGGCACATGAGCGGCGTCGTCTTTCCCCCTATCTCCGGTCGCCCCCATAGCGTCGACATCGTCTACGAAGAAGGACCCTCGATGTACGACAGATCCGACGTCGTCTTAGTCACGCAGCGTGTGCACCGTGTGCAACCAACTGGCAGCTTGGGCATCCTAGTGTTTGTGACGGGCGCGACGAGTGTGAGCTTGTAAAGCAGCAGCTAGAGTCGGCGGCGGTGTCAGAGCGCTTACCGCCAATCAAGGTTTACACCCTGAATTCCAGCACACCGGAAGAGGAAAGGAACCAGGCGCTCAACGAAGACCCTAAGGTGGGAAGAAAGATCGTCGTCGCAACTAACGCGGCTGAGACGTTCTCACGGTTGCGCACATTGGGAGTGTCGTCGACCCGGGTTTTGCAAAGGAAAAGCGGTTCTACCCCCAACACGAGTCGGAGTCTTTGTGGACGGTGAGGATCGACAAGTCTTCGGCCACTGAGAGAGTGAGGCGGGTGTTGAAAGAAAGCGTCTTGAAGCGCCTTTCAAGTGCACAACTACTAGGAATGAGTGTCCATCACAATTCAAGAGTCCAAATCAAGTCCAATCACGTAGCTAGGTCTACTCTAGCTTATGTGGAGTCCTTAATTAGCCTAGGTGGTCCCTTCTTCAAATCGACGGCCTAGCTCCAACTACTCCAACAACTACCATCGGACGATCCACACGACTCCCTCTTAATATGTCCTTAATCTCAATGGTCTCGTATGCGTTCACCTTAATCTGATCTTAATCTGATCTTAATCTACGTGCTCTTTACGTTGGTTGTCTTAATCTCGATTGATCTTAACTTTAACCACCTTTAGACGTCAATCTTACAGCACATTAAGATCAATCTCGCTTACATCAAGTCCTAAATCTCGCAAGCATTAAGACCTGAATCTCGGCCTTATCCAGTCTTAATCTCATCCACATTAAAACTTTAATCTCGGCCTCATTAAGACCAAACCTATGCATCACACACTAACCCACCACATTACAATGGTATAGGATATTAAGGGCGTAATCAAGACAGATACTCTTTAATCTCAACAGAGGTTAAGACCAAAGACTTCTTAATCCTAACAGAGATTAAGACCAAAAACTCCTTGATCTCAACAGCGGGCTGGCCATACGCGCCTCGGTACGTGCTACAGGCTGTGCAGCGAGGCCGTTTACGAGGAGATGCCGCCGACGGCCAACCCGCAGAGCAAGCGCACGGATTTCGCACTGGTGGCGCTCGACGTCACGATGATGGGGTGGAGCCGCGCATGTGAGCCTCAAGTAAACCTTTGCCGGCGCTGGTGTGCGGCCTGATGTGTGGAAGGCCTTGTTCGTGCCTTGTTGACTCGTTCGCCCCAGTGTCGCTCGCCGTTAGGGATTATGTTCGTCTCTGGTGCCAAGTCCGACGAAGCTCAGCGCTCATCAAACCGTTTGTCCTCGCTTAGTTACGCAGCTTCTAGAGTGGTCGTTCGCTGAAGTCGGCGCCGCTCGAGTCTTGCAACGTGCGCTGTGGATGAACTCATTCTGGCCTTGATGTCTGCTCCTGATGTTGCGTTCTCAGTGGCAGCATGCGTGTTTTGCTGCCGTCGACTTCGTCAATAGTTTCCCCTTCCTGAACCCGCCTGACGACGGCGCCCATGATACGCATTTCGAAAGCTTCAAGCCATCGCCGCGACATGCAACGGTGGTGCAGTTTCGCGGCGTGGCCGGCGCATGGCGGCCCTCCTACTGAGCCCCGAGGATGGCGCAATGTTCTTTGCCGCGATCGACGGGGGCTGTCAGTTCTCAACGAGGAATCCCCCCCCTATACCCATCTGGACGGGCATTGCCCGAGTGAGGTGGGCACCTGTCTGCTCCAAGCCGATCCGATAGAGTAAGTACAATGGTAGAATCGGTCCTTCTGATGTAAAAGTTGTAGCAACCCTTTTGCAGTGTAGTGCGGGTCCAATCAAACCCTGTTCGCGCAATCGCGGAAAGCTTCCTCTCCAATGAGATGGCTCGACGCTCATGAAAGCGCCCACCCGTACTTCCCATCGAGCAGGTGCATTGGATTCGTTACCAGCTCCAGGCGACTTTCCCTGTACCTGTTTCTTCTTTTTCTTTTGAGCAATCAAGTGTGACGGTTGGCTAGCTTAAGCGAAGCGCTGGCGGGATAACTTCACCCGTTACTAGCAGCCATGTGCCGAAACCATGGATGTAGGCATTCTTGGACGAAGGCGCGAGCTCTGTAAAAGTGTTGTCTTTCAACTGAAGTCAGTTCTGCTTGCTGGTTGGAACTTGACTTCAAGGATGCCCGCAAGTTGAACCAAGTCTTGTTCCTCGCTCGCATTCAGTGAAGACCTGAATCATGAAGGGGCAGTCTCGAGCGCACTCGAGGTCTGGTCCAATCATATCCAAGTCCCCCGTCCAGCTATTGAGGAGCCTACTGAGGACTGCATAGTAGAGCACAGTGCGATACGCCAAGCAATCCTGATCATGACAGCGATTGACAGTGACTACCGAACTGTTTCGGACTGAACTGAACAATACATTATCATTGCCCTACCATACACCTTAGCCGGTGGCGTAATTACAATCAATTATGTCACATCAATACCGGCCACATAGGCCGACACGTCGACAAACTGGCAAATCCGAAGGATAACACTTGTGTGATTGTGCGGTTAGATTTAACCATAGCCCAATCGTCACATCAAGAGTCGCTCGTTCGTCCCCATCCCTATCCTCTTTCTTGTTTATTGCACAGGTCCGGCTTCGCTCGAACACAACGTTTATGCATTATGTCGAGACATGCTTTCGTGCGTCCCTCTTCAGGGATTTCATCAAGCAAGTGACGCAAGGAAGAGCCGACGAATGGTGTTCGGAGTGCGGACTGCGTGCAAAGGCGCGCTGGCGTGCTCATGACACGTACGAATAGCTCGCGGGCATGCATAGGAGGTCAGTGCTCGATTGCGCCAGGACCGCATCGAATGTGTACGCAAAGCTCTGGTTCCGTGGGTTGGCTGTAGACTAGGCTTCCGCTCTTCTCAAGTGCTGCTTCCACTCAGCGCTACCCTCCCAGTTCCGTTCAACTTCCGTTCGCGTGTGAACGATCTAGAGACACGCCCTTTGATAGGACTTGTCCCTTCTACGTTTGACGTCAGTCTATGATTCGAATGCCTGCTAGATGGCCGCCTGCAAAACGAGCGTCAACCTCCTACTTCTTCGATAGCGCTTCCACTGACTCGATCGCAAGGAAAAAGACCGAAGGCTGAGCAGCGGTGCTCCTCATCCCCTGCTCACTTTCTCGCTACTCAATAACTCATCAAGTGGGTAGTCCGGGTTGCAAGCTGTGTTGACGACCTCACTCCGTTGCTACGTACGTAAGGGCCATTTGCCAGGGCTACGTACTCAACAAGCCTTTCGCAAGCCCGACGGCGATTACCTTACCTGCTTCAGTGAACGGGAGGCGGATATAGATAAGAGGAGCGTGCTTGCCAACGGCGAACCGCTCTGCGTCGTTAGCCGTCGCCTGTCCGAGACCCGGCCAAGGAAGCTGGAGCTGCAAGAATACGTCGTGATTGATCGGGGCTGGTTACCCGCGCCTGCTCGGCACTTTTCAATTTTTTGGCGGAGGACTGGGTTTGACCGCTTATGGACGTGTATAGCGGGGGCGGAGTGAGTCAAGAGTCACTGTGAGGAAGTCGAACACGTTCGGCTCGGCGGTGCTAGGGGTGGCGACTTCGACTTACAGCCGCAGGTAGGTCGTAGAATCCGCACATACATGCAGCTAGAAGGTCTGGTCCAAATTGGCCACTGTTTGGAAATTTGGGCCCACAGCCGTGCTGGCGAACCCACGAACCTCGGCCTAGAGCCGCATGTAAACAGAAATATCGGCAGAGAGCCGCACGTAGTCGGGATTTCGGCTCTAGAGCCGCCTGTAGCCAGGGACTTCGGCCCTAGAGCCGCCTGTAATTAGGAACTTCGGCCGAGAGCCGCCGTAGCCAGTAACTTCGGCCAAGAGCCGCATGTAGCCAGCAACTTCGGCCGAGAGCCGACATAGCGAGTATGTGCTTAAGCAGTCGACGAATAAAAATTTCGGCCCAGAGCCGCGATACTAAGGAAGCATTGACGTAGAGTTCTGCTCAAAGTTGCACGATGCTCTGCATGACGAGATGGTGCAACCGCGGCGGCGGGATTCAAGTCACTAGCTAGTGTATATACTCCGAAAATACTAATGGGGCAAATAGGAAGAGGATGCTCTTAGTCGTGGTCCATCATTTTTGCAGTGTGTTTGTGTGCACGTGCTCATTCGATCTACGTTTCCGTATACGTTCTCTACGGCCGTTCAAATTTTTTACATAACGATTTAAAACAACAGGATGCTGCTTCCAGGCAACACACGAGGGGATCCAAGCACCACTAAACCGGTCCGCTGACCACGGTCCGCACCATTAGATGGTCACTTATTTCCGTACACACTTAGGCACCTGGGCCCAGATACAAGCAACTTTGGAGTTCGGGGTTCATCAAAAAAACGTTTCTATTCTACTGACCGAGCAGTTACAAGCGATAAAGCAGCTTGTCACTGCACAGGATTATGGCTACATGCTACCCTGTCATGGCATAAATTACTCGGAAAGCAATTATTGGGCCGACAATAAGGTTGATACGCGGGCCGCGTTTGGATAGCGAGACAATACACCTGTTAGTTCGTCAAGGCAGACTCCGATTGTATATGAGGCTCGGACCGCTGCAAGCTCGACTTAATATCGAGACCGTGCGTGGCATGTGAACAACCCGGAGCATGAACCATGCATGCATCCGGGTGTGGGTGTGTTAAGATTCGGTGGTTATAGTCAGCCGAATTACTGTGATTAGGTTTCGGCCCGAGTTAGGGTTTGAACTAGTGAACGCCGACGTGCGTGTACGGCGGTTGGACGGTTAAACCGTTAGGCGGTTTGGAGGTTAGGCGGTTGAGAGCGGCCGTTAGTGTTAGCCGTAGATGAGGATATCGAAAGCTGAAATTGAGTGTGACTGTGAGCTAGGCTAGTGAGCCTAGTATA